GAGGAGGAGAGGAGGATCAGGCCATGCTGGAGGCCCCATGGAGCCATAATGGGTCTCGTAAGAGGGCCTGGGCAGTCCTGAAGCCATCTTGGGCAATATCGGCTACCCTTGGGTCGTCTTGTGTCTTCCCAGGTCTGTCTTGCAGGCCTCCCAGGTCTGTCTTGAGGCCGCCTGGCGCCTGTGGCAGCTTGGAGCCCAGGGAGCTTTGTCCTCTTCTTCCTTCCTCATCGCCCCCCCCCCCCCTCATGCTCGAGATGAACAGCGCAAGCTTCCCCCGTCCCGCGGCGCCAGCCCGGGCGTGCGAGAGCGCGGTTTTCTGCGCGAGAGGAATGGGGGTCGGCATTGAGCGATCTTGATCCCATGCTCCCTCGGACCATTTAGAGTCGGCAGTGTCCCTCGACTTCGAGCCACGAGCGCGTTATTGCGTTAAAAAATCTCAGGGCCTCAGGGCCGAAAAGGGGGGGGGGCGCGGGGGGAACTAGCTGGCTGCCGTATCCCCCCACCCCTTGCCCGCCTCCTCCTGTCCGCCTCGTCCCTCCCCCTCCACTCCTCCAGCGCAATTGAAGGCATGTTCCTCCTCCTCCCTCCTTTGCGCGCACTCCCTCCTCCCTCCTCACTGTTCCTTCCTCTTCCTCTCGTCCTCATGCTCTTATTCTTGCTTCCTCCTCGTCCTCCTCCTCCTCCCTTGCTGGTCTTCCTCCTCCTTCCTGGTCCTCATCCTCCTCCTTTCTCCTCCTTTCCCCCCCATGCTCCTTCTTATTATGTTCCCCTCCTTCTCATTCATCCTTATCATCATTCTCCTTCGTTCTCCTCCTCCCTCCTTCCTCCTCCTTCTTCTTCTCCTCCTCTTCTTTCCCCGCCTGCCTGTGATTATTATTCCTCCTCGATCGACCTCCTCCGCCCCCCTCCCTCAAGTGTCCTTCGCCTGTATCTTCGGATACTGCCCCCTCCCGGAGGAGGGCAGATTGCGCCGCAGAGAACAACGCATGCAGCACAGGGAACAGCTACACTGGTGGTATTTAGAAGAGAAAAGTGAGGCCTTCAGAAGATCTGGGCGGGCGGCCAAAGCGAGGCGCTTCGCGCGGTCACAAGGGGTAGGATTCGCCCAAGCAAGCCTGGCAGCGCACCCCGCCCCGCCCAGAATAGTTTTCTTCAGCCTGCAGCGCGAGAGGAGCCTCAGGTTTCCAGGCTTCGCGGGTCCAAGGCGAAGCCCGCGCTGCCTTGCGGCCCTGATTGTTTGCGTTACGCTTGCGATCTGACGCGCAGGATTCGGCGTCGGAGCCAGTCGGTAAACATTGCCATGTCCTTTATAGCTTTCTGGCGCGTGCTTTGAGTTTCTGGGCGCGAGTGTCTGAGTGTGAGCGAGTGTGAGAGAGCGGGCCAAGAGTGCCCCAAGAGGCCCCCAACCGGTCAAAGACGCCTGGGCGGCCTCCAGACGGCTCAAGAGGCTTGCCTGCAAGCCGCCCCAAGAAGCCTCCAGGAGCACTCCCAAGAGGCCCCTAGAAGGCAACATGCAATGAATTCCCATGCGTTTCCAAGAGGCCCCTAAAAGGCAACATGTAATGAGTTCCCAAGAAGCCTCCAGGAGCACTCCCAAGGGGCCCAAGAAGCCCCCAAGAACTCCCCGCGACGGCCCACCAAGGAGCCTCCAAGAGAGTGCCAAATGGCCCCCAAGACGGCCCAAGACCCTTCCAAGACGGCCCAACAGGCCCCCAAGACGGCTCCAAGCCGAACGAACGAACGAACGAACATTTCGAGCCCTCGGCCCCAAGGGGGCCCCCCAAGAGTCGCTCGGGCACGGGGGATTCCCTCACTGCTATCCGTGCCAATTTTGGCTCAAGATCTGTTAATTCGGGGCGCGCACTAATGGATCCCAAACAATTCGCCAGCCCAACGCGATGTCCACGCATGGAAGCTTGGGCTGACATGCTAGTCGGTGGCTCCCCGGACTTGGCGGCGGCGGTGGCAGCGCCGAAGTCGCCAGATCCACGGGCGGGCGCTATCTGGGCGGTGGCGGTGGCAGCGCCAAAGTCGCCAGATCCACAGGCAGCCCTCTCGGCGATGGCGGTGGCGGCGCCGAAGTCAACAGACTCACGGGCGGCTTTCTCGGCGGCGGCGGCGGTGGCGGCTGCGAAGTCAACAGACTCACGGGCTGCTCTCTCGGCGGCGGCGGTGGCGGCTGCGAGGTCAGCAGACTCGCATGCGGCTCTCTCGGCGGCGGTGGCGGCTGGGAAGTCAACAGACTCACAGGCGGCTCTCTCGGCGGTGGCGGTGGCCGCGCCGAAGTCAATAGACTCGCAGGCGGCTCTCTCGGCGGTGGCGGTGGCTCGGGAGGCTGGGCAAAAACTGCAGCTCGAGACCCACGACAAGGACAGGGGCCCGCTGCAGCTCGAGATCCACGGCAATGACGAGAAGGGCCCGCTGCAGCTCGAGATCGGCGCAATGACGGGGGCCAGCTGCAGCTCGAGATCAGCGACAGCGACGAGGATGGTCCGCAGCGAGGCCGCCGCCCGGTGGCGAGGCCAGGCTTCACGAGGCAGCTTCGGTTCGACGACGGCCCTCCTGCCGTTCGCCGAATGCGCTCGCGCTCTCGCTCTTCGCGCCAGCGCCTCTTGTGGGAGATGGCGCGCGAGGACGTGCGCATGCAAGTCGCAAATTGCGACAAGGCGCTCGTTGTGCACGAACCGTTGATAGACGTAGAACAATTTTTTTGGCTTCATCGGTTGCGCAGCATATGCCGTCGTTATAGGTCTCTCTACGTAGGCACTACTAGCGACCCGACCTGGAGATGGTTTGGTGGCCGCGGCTGGCGTGGCGACACTCAGATTTTCATGCGAGGCCACTGCCATAAGTATAGGAAAATGCATATCATTGCTGCCCTTCCCGACGCCGAGGCTGCGAAAGCAGAAGTTATCGCCATCGCCCACTCGCGTGACTCGGATAATCGAGTTGGCGACGCCCGGGGGTTGGAGATCAGAAAATTTAGGTACTCATTTCTGTACGTTTGTGTCGCATAAGGGGCGCGATGCACAAAACAACGCCATCAACGCAAACACCATCATCGAACGTACCATTCATCAAACCTATATGTGTATGTGTATTCAAAATTACACACATGCATGACTATATATATATATATGCACACAAATTCATGGCTTCCTCCCACCTCCCTACTCTCCCTGCCCCCTCTTCCGAACTCCTCCTTCTCTCTCTCTCTCTCTCTCTCTCTCTCACCGCGCGAGAGACAGCGCGCGCGCCCGCGGCGGGGGGCCAGTCTCTCGCGCGCGCGTGGCGGGGGGCCATGCGCCAAGTGTCGAAAGCAACCCTCTAGGTGTCAGTTACGATCTCTTGAGATTCGGAGGAGGAGGATGAGGACGACGATGACTGACGTTGCCAGGGGGCTCCCGAAGGTGTACAGGCATTGGCGTCGTTTTCGTCGGCGTCGTCTGCGTCGTCGTCGTCGTAGCGTTCCTCCTCTCGTCGCCCTCGTTTTCTTCGTTATATCGCAGGGTGTTTCACGCAAGGACAGAAGGAGGGGGGAGGGAATTGGGAGGAGCTGCGTGCGAGGGAGGCGGAGCTTGGTCGAAACGATCTGTTTGATCACAGTTCCGTTTGATCACACGCTGTGGCGCGCGCAGGCATTGTTGTGCACGGAGGCGCAGCTGTGTACACAGGCGTTGCGGTGAATGCAATTGTTGTGGTGTCGACATGTGTTGTGGTGTACACGAGCGCTCTGGTGCACGCTGGCACTGGTGTACGGCCACGGTGCGGAATACGCGGCTGCTGTCATATGCGCAGGCGCCGTGGTGTACAAAATGGTTACGAGAACGGTCTCCAGAGGAGAAAAAGATTCCGATACCAATGCTCGTCCTGGAGAGCCCTCGCCACCACGGCTGGATTCTCCTCGAAAGTCTGGTCAGAACGCACCCCGCGAGAGGGTCTGGGGAGTAGCGGTATGGGTACCTTGACCGGCGCGCGCAGAGAAAGGTCCGACGGCGTCCCTCTCGCGACGGAGACGGGCGACAGTCAGAGCACAGAGGTCTCCCTGAGCAAGAGCCAGTGTGATCACACAGAGCCTGACCGCAAGCAGGGGTTCTGATCACGCTTGGCCCTGGTGATAGCGTCTTCTGTGTTTGCCACGTCATGCAGTGCATTTGTTGTTTTTGTTATCACGCCTGCGCTCGTGCTCAGAATCGTCAGCGTTTGCCACAGAGTGCAGCCTATGATTCAAGAGATGGCTTTTTCAGGGGCCGGCGAGAACCCTGGTTGTCGGGCCCGCCCGCCTCCCCGCCAGATAACCTGACCTTTTTGGTTTCGCAGTTCCGAAGAGAGTACGCAGTATTGGTGCGCGCGGGCACGCGTGGGGCTGCCCAAAGCGAAAGGTTTGGGTATCGGCCGGCATATCCCCCGAAACATCAGAACAAACTCCGAATAATCACCCCTATTTGGCCTGCCACGCAGTGCAGCTCATGATCTCTTCGAGCTGCGTCCGCGTTTGTGCAAAGCATCGTTTGCGCTTTCCACGTCTGCATCTTAGCGTGGGGAAGCGGGTCCTGTGGGAAACGGGTCCTGGACCCTGGCGCCTTCCCCCAGGACGAGGTCTTCCTTCTGAGTCGTTTTCTGACGGTCGCTGGGCCCGTGGACCCCGAGAGCCCGGAAACGGCGAAAAACGTCAGGACCCGTTTCCCCCATGGCGAATCGCATGATCTTTTTGTACACGCACTTGTGTTGTTACCGGCGAAGTGCTGCAAGAGCTTGGGGCAGTGTTTCGTGCTGGCCTTCGCGACGGCCGCCTGGACGCTGCTTGGGGCGCGCTGGAGACTGCTATGCGCAAGGGGATGGGCCTCAGCGTGGGGGCTACCTGGAGACGTCCGTGCGGCAGTGCGCTGGCACGAGGTGGCATGCGGGTCGACCGCGTGCCACGGGCGCCGGCGGTGAGGCAAGCTATGAAGCTGCCAACGCTGGATTGCTGCAGCTGCGGCGGCTGCGCTACATGAGCCATGCCGCGAGCCGCTGGGGCCTCGGTTGCCACCAGGCGCGGGCCGTCGCATGTCATGGACGAGCCTGCTGGTAGCGCCCAGGCAGCCGACCTGCAGCGGCTCGCAGTGGCGCCGGGCCTGCTCGGGAGGCGCAGCGGACGCACCAGGCGATGGCCAATGGTGGAGGCCGGCTTTGCACAGGATCCGCTCGGATGGTACCCTGGCGGCCGCCCTGGTGCCACACCCTCGTGCAGCTGCTGCTGGTGAGGCGGCTGCGCAGCCTTGCGGACGACGCTGGTGCCGCTCCCTGCGAGGCGGCGCTGACGACCAGCTCCATATATCACTGGCGGGCGCTGTGGCAGCGGTCCATTCCAGCGACCCCTCATCTCGAGCAGTGGCTTGTCGAGCTGGAGTCCTTACCACCGTTCCCGGATAATTAGGGGGTGCCTTGGACGGCCGACTTGGTCCAGGCGATCCTTCAGCGGATGGCGAAAAACAAGGCGCTCGGCCTGGACGGATGAGCAGTGGCAGAGCTTCGCTTCTTGCCGATCGAGCTGCTCGAGTGGATCGCGGAGGTTTTCGATTCCGTCGAGCAGACGGGCCGTTGGCGGCAGGAATTGCGTGTGCCCGAGGGCGTCCTCCTTCCCAAGCCTGGCGACGGCGGGCCAATGGACCGCAGACCGATATGGCTGCTCCCATGTTGTACCGCGTCTGGGCGGCAAGCAGGGCGCAGCTGTTTGCGCGGTGGCGCGCGGCGTGGCGCGACGCTGACGGCAGCGTGGGACCTCGCCCTCGAGCTCGAGGCAGTAGGCTGCCAGGGAGACCATTTGCGGCGGCGCCCTGGGTTGGTGCGGCGCCTTCGACCACGTCGTCAGTATGCAGCTCCTGGAGCGGGTGCTGACGCGCGCAAAGGTGCCTGAGTGGTTACGCGGCCCGCTCTTCGCAACCTACCCGGTCCCCTGCTGGCTCCGCGTTCACGGCGCTCTCGGTGGCCCGTAGGGGCCAATCAACGGGATCCTCCCCGGCTGCGCTCTGGCACTATTCGTGCTGAGCGTTTTGGTCTGGCCGTGGTACCAGCGCACTGGGCGAGTGCACGACGGTCTGCACCGCCGCGTGCACGTCGACGACCTCGCGGTGTGGGCACGTGGGGACCCAGATGCCATTGCCGAGGCGGTCGCCGAGGCTCTGCGGATCACCAAGGCTTACGAGGCAAACGTGGATTGGTGGCTGCTTGAGGTCGAGAGCAAGCAGTTTGCTAACCTGGCTTCCGCGCGGCGGTGGCTTCAGCAAGAGATGCCGCCCATCTCCGCCAGGACTGAGATCCGCGACCTCGGAGTCGTCGCGGTCACCAGCAAGCGGCGCAAGCAACCCGTGGCCGCGGCTCGGGTGCAGTTGGCCCGCGATCGCCTCGGGCGCCTCCGTCGTCTGCCCGTGCCTTCCCGCTGGCGGTGTCTGATGGGCGCGGCCGGCGGCGCGGCCGCGGGCACCTGTGGTCCGCGTGCGGTCGCCTTGCCTCGGGTGAACTTTAGCGGCTGCGCTGTGCTCCAAGTCTGCCACAAGCAATGGACCCCTGGCTGCCGCCAAAATGGCGCTCGGCATTCTCAGCCCCACTTGGCGCCTGCATCCCAAGGCGGTTGTCATCGCCGCGCCGCTGCTCGACCTCGCCTCGTGGCGCACCGCCCCTGACGCATTCCTCGCTGGAGCTGAACGCGCAATCGGGCCAGTGGCCGCTTCGCTGTGCAGCATGCGCGAGCTGGGCTTGGGCGGCGACATGTAGCGATGGGTCGGTGCGCCGACGGCGCCGCACGGCTGGCGCCCAGCAGAACGGTCGCGGCGGTCCACCGAGCGCGATGTCCTGGCGGCGTGGCATCGCGCGGAGTGCCGCAAGGTCGCCTCGCGTCGGACGTGCTTTGCCCATTTGGCCAGCGGCGCGGCCAGGTGGGCGACGCGCCGCTTGCTCGCCGCCGACGCTCTTGCGCCCGAGGCCGCCAGCGAGCTGCTCGCGTCATGTGGGGCATCATCGCCACCGAGGCCATCGCTGCGCAATGGAGTGGGCGGGCGCTGCGGGCTGGCCAGCGAAGACCTCGAGCATCGCATCTGGTTGCGCCCGGCGTGGGACGGCCCGCACCGTGCTGGCGGCAGCGCCGCGAGCGGAGCCGCTTCCCAGGGGCGCCGGTGCCTGGCGGCAGCTCCTGCCTGCTGGGGTCGCCTCGACCAGGGCGCTTGCGACGCCGCCGCTGCTCGCGGCCCTGGCGGCAGCCGCCGGCAGCGAGGACCCGCGGCTCCGCCGCGCTGTTGAGACACCCCGCAGCGCCGCGGCGCGCGCGCCGCGCTGTTGAGACACCCCGCCGCGCCGCGGCGCTGCGTGGAGGGACGGGGCCTGCCTCCCTCCGACTGGCCCGCTGTTGGCGCGGGCGGCGCGAGGCTTACGGCGCGGGGGGCTCGAGGCTCCGAGTCTCGCTGGGCCAGTTGACGCCTTGCAGACTGCCCAGCGCGCAGGGGTGACCAGCTGCCGTTGCGGCGGCGCGCGTCGCCGGCGGCCCAGTCGACCTGGTTTCGGATCGCCAAGTCGTGTGGTCCTGCGCGCAGATCGCAGGCGGCTCCGACGCGCGGGTTTGGGGACACGCCGACTTGTGGGTGCAGCGGGCGGACGCTCGGGGCGGTTGCGGGCCCGCTAGGCGCCAGCTCGCAAGACGCCCGCGGCGGCGCGGTGCCTCGGGGATAGCGAGCGCGACTGTCATGGCAACGTCGCAGCCGACGGCGACGCAGCGGGCCTTGCCGAGCGACGCGGCGCGCGCTCGCCGCGGGGGTCTGGAGCTGCTGGAAGCGGTGTAGCGGGTGCACGCGGCTGCCCGGCAAGCAGCCCTGGCTGCGGCGCTTGCGCCGTTACCGGCGCGGGCGGCGCGCGGTCCGGGGAGGGTGCTCGCGCGTGCGGCGTCCACGTTGGGCCCCACCGCCGCCGGCCGCGCCCCCGCGGTCCCGCCTGCATCTCGGCCGCGCCAGGGCGCAAGCGCCGAGCCTGTAAGTTCTGGCGCCTTGCTCGCCGCGTTCGCTCTGCGGGCCGCCAGCGGTGACTTCACTCCATCGCGCGGGTGCACTGGCAGGTCTGCTGCCTGCGCTGCGGCGGCAGCGCGGAGACGTCGGCGGCGATGCTGACCACTGCCTGTCCCGGATGGCGAGAGCGCCTGCCGGCGCGCGGACAGTCGATGTTGTCCCGCTTTGCGTTGGCGGCTGCGTGGCCGGCTTCGCGGGGCTGGTGCGCGCCACACCGCGCAGCTTCTCAGGGTGCCGGGGGTTCCGCGCCTGGCGTCGGCGACCGCGCCTGCCGCCCGCTCCTGCCCGTCAAGGACACGCATTTGTGCTGCTTTCTCGCGATGTTGTTTCGATCCACACGCGCACCCGTGCTCGGCATCGTCTGGGCCGGCCACGCGCTCAGGCGCAAAGCCGCCTCGATTCGCGCCAGCACCTGTTCGAGGGGAGAAGCGTGATGGCCATGACCAGGATGTCGCGGGATCTGGCCGACGCCGATTTCCAGTGCCCTTGACTCTTTCTACAATTATTGGGGCCTCCTGGTAGGCCCTCGTTGCCACCGCTGGATTCGCTTCGAAAACGGCGCACCTTGGGAGACGTCTGGAGAGTAGCGGTATATGTACTTTGTGGTTTCCCCAGATCCTGGTCATAGGTCCATGAACGAGGATCGCGGAAACTCGCGAGGTCGATCCACGAAATGACGATGACCAAGCTGGACGGTGGTTCAGATCGACACACAAACGACGCCAGAAAATGGGGTGGTTTTCACCAGCGTGGGCGCGTAAGCTGACTGCGTAGGGCCCCGCGCAAGCGCCCTCGCTTTCAATTTGGCGTGCCGTGCTGGCGGCCCGCGCAAGTCACCGCGTAAGGTCGTTGTGTCGTCTCGCGTAATGCAGGTTCGATTTTGTCGGTCACCCATGTTTTAGCGTTCCGTCTTGGTCATGGTCATCGTTTCCGTACCGTTCAGCATCGCTCCGACGGGGGCGATTGTTCCGGCGGGGACCATCGATGAACCGCTTGGATGATCGAATCCAAAAAATCACACGCTTGAAACCAACACAAATACACGGGCAATGGACGTCAGGACGACGGTAAAACCCTCCACCGCTCGACCGTCGCTCCGACGCGCCGTCGCTGAGGGAATACGGACACGGTCGCCGCTCCGGCCTTGTCAGCATTCGCCGTGGCGCGTTTCACTGCGCGGTCGAGGAATGCAGCCCTCCTTCCGTTGAGCTTTCCATTGGCGAAGGAACTTGCGTGAATGTCGAGCCCGAGCGATGGCAAGGCTCTCCACCTGCAGCCCGCGCCCCCTCGGCCCTGCCGCCCGCAGGTGGACTCGCTCCTCCCACAGCCGGGGCGGCGCACGGGGTGGCGCGCCGGGCGGCGCTGGCCCGCGGCGGATGTCCGAGCAGGGGGGCCAGGCACGGGCCGGAGAGCTGGCGGCGTCCACAAAACGACGACGACGACGACGACGACGACGACGACGACGACGACGACGTCGGCGACGCCGACGACGCCGACGCCGACGCCGACGCCGACGCCGACGCCGACGCCGACGCCGACGCCGACGCCGACGCCGACGCCGACGCCGACGACGACGACGACGACGACCACGACGACGGTGCCGTGGCCCCGCCCAGGGCTGCGCCCTCCAGGGCGGCCCCCCCACCCCTTCATAGCAGGAGTTGCCCCCCCTTCACAGCAGGAGTTGGCGGCGCCCGCAAGAGGGTTGCGCGAGGGGGTTGCGCGAGGGGGTTGGCCCGCGGCGGATGTCCAGGGCCAGGCGCGGGTTGGAGAGTTGGCGCCATGGATGCGACGAAGGCGTCTATGAACCACCACCGTGCCAGGCGAGGGCCATCCTGGGCCGTAAGATTGTGTCCAGACCCTCCTGGCCTCGGCCAGGAGGGCGTATACACCATGCCAGGGCCAGGATGGCACTGGCCTGAAACGGTTGTGTATAGATGCCTTCGGCGTAATGGAGGAGCGGGGTTCTGAGGCGCCGAAGTGGATTCTGCGGGAGGGCCCCTCGGGGGAGAGCCCACCGACCCCGACGTGAGCACTCTGGTTGTGGTTGTGGTCGCTGTGGCCGTCCTGAGGCCACGTCGACCACAACCACTGCGAAAAACGGGTTTAGGTGTTCCGACAGTTTCCAGCATGCGCAAGCCATCCCCCAGGGGGCTGTCACCATGGATCGCCGAGCTCGTTCCGCTGCTCGCAAAGTGCCGACTCGCAAAAGTCCGAAAAGCACATGCCTGCTTTGATGTAATTTATCGTAGATCCCCTGTGGGGGATCCAGGCCATTTGCGAGTAGTTACTTTGCGAGTAGTGGAACGCGCTCGTCGAATGGAGGAAGCGGGTCCCGAGGTTTTTCCCCCCTCTCGAGCCGTCGGAGCCCTTCGCGGGCCCAGGGACTGCCACCAGCACGGCTCAGTAGGAGAAACTCGTCGTGGGAGGAGGCACCGGGGGTCCGGGACCCGCCTCCCTCGGGACCCGTCTCCCCCCACGCTGGACGGCAGTTCCAGCAGAGCAATGGAGCGGGGGTTTGCGTCCCCTTGGGCATATTACTAAACTAGATCCCGGCAAACCCAGTCCTGGCAATGCCCGAAGTTGGGGTTCTCATTTTCGCCTTGCCAGTTGTTCTTTTCGACAGTGTGCGTACTCTTCTCTTTGTCTTCGAACGGCGCATGCATATTCCGGGACGGGCGAAGTCTTCACCGCCCGTTCTTGTCTCACCCTCTCGCGAAGCTCCAACAGCGTTGTCCATTATGCCTGGTGGGCGTTCGTTCGCCAACGGCGGTATGCGCATGTCCACCGCCTCCCGGCGTCCCCAAAGATCGATATTCCCTGGCGGTAGTCATGGATAAACCGCCACCTCTCTGAGCAGCTACCCCCCCCTGTCGTCCCCCCTAGGGGAGGTATGTGACCATCTCTCGCCTGCACGTCACGTTATGCCCCCTCTGCGCGCTTGCCGCGCCCGCTTGGTCTAAACGACGACGGAGGATGTACGACGGAGGAGGCCGATGACGAAAAGGGACAGAAGGGCTAGGCGTAGGAAGAGGAGGATGGCTGAGAAGGCGAAGGAGGACTTGCAGGAGGAGGGGGATGAGGGATGATAGGGTGATGATTATGGTGACGTTGATGATGAATGTAATGATACTGATAAGAAGAAAGGTAATGATGATGATGTTGATGTTGAGGATGAGGATGCGCCGCCCCCGGCGAAGAAAAAAAAGAAACGTGTGAGAGGTGTGCCGAAATGGGTGCGGTGCCGCCATGCAAACGCAGCCACTGGGGCCCTCGGTGGAGCTCCCTATGGGGCCACGAAACGCGTGAGGGGTGTGCCGAAATGGGTGCGGTGCCGCCCTGCGAACGCAGCCACTGGGGCCTTCGGTGGAGCTCCCTATGGGGCCACGAAACGTGTGAGGGGTGAGCCGAAATGGGCGCGGTGCCGCCATGCGAACGCAGCCACTGGGGCCCTCGGTGGAGCTCCCTATGGGGCCAAGGAGCGTGTGAGGGGTGTCCCGAAATGGGTGCGGTGCCGCCATGCGAACGCAGCCACTGGAGCCCTCGGTGGAGCTCCCTATGGGGCCACGAAACGTGTGAGGGGTGTGCCGACATGGGCGCGGTGCCGCCATGCGAACGCAGCCATTGGAGCCCTCGGTGGAGCTCCCTATGAGGCCACGAAACGTGTGAGGGGTGTGCCGAAATGGGCGCGGTGCCGCATGCGAACGCAGCCACTGGGGCCCTCGGTGGAGCTCCCTATGGGGCCACGAAAATGTGAGGGGTGTGCCGAAATGGGCGCGGTGCCGCCATGCGAACGCAGCCACTGGGGCCTTCGGTGAGCTCCCTATGGGGCCACGAAACGTGTGAGGGGTGTGCCGAAATGGGTGCGGTGCCGCCATGCGAACGCAGCCACGGGGGCCCTCGGTGGAGCTTCCTCAGGGGCCACGAAACGTGTGAGGGGTGTGCCGAAATGGGTGCGGTGCCGCCATGCGAACGCAGCCACTGGGGCCTCGGTGGAGCTCCCTATGGGGCCACGAAACGTGTGAGGGGTGTGCCGAAATGGGCGCGGTGCCGCCATGCGAACGCAGCCACTGGGGCCCTCGGTGGAGCTCCCTATGGGGCCACGAAGCGTGTGAGGGGTGTGCCGAAATGGGCGCGGTGCCGCCATGCGAACGCAGCCACTGGGCCCTCGGTGGAGCTCCCTATGGGGCCACGAAACGTGTGAGGGGTGTGCCGCCATGCGAACGCAGCCACTGGGGCCCTCGGTGGAGCTCCCTATGGGGCCACGAAACGTGTGAGGGGTGTGCCGCGGTGCCGCCATGCGAACGCAGCCACTGGGGGTGGAGCTCCCTATGGGGCCACGAAACGTGTGAGGGGTGTGCCGGAATGAGTGCGGTGCCGCCATGCGAACGCAGCCACTGGGGCCTTCGGTGGAGCTCCCTATGGGGCCACGAAGCGTGTGAGGGGTGTGCCGAAATGAGTGCGGTGCCGCCATGCGAACGCAGCCATTGGAGCCCTCGGTGGAGCTCCTTATGGGGCCACGAAGCGTGTGAGGGGTGTGCCGAAATGGGCGCGGTGCCGCCATGCGAACGCAGCCACTGGAGCCCTCGGTGGAGCTCCCTATGCGGCCACGAAACGTGTGAGGGGTGTGCCGAAGTGGGTGTGGCTGACGCGGAGGGGGAGGAGGGAGGGAGGAGGGGGAGGAGTGAGTGAGGGACGCGGGGCGCTGTCTCTTCAAAACGAGGACCCAACACCACAGGATGGTTGAGAAAAACAATATCCTGCCCAAGCTGTCCAAAGAAGATGGTGGAATGCATCCGCCGGGGCGTCGCGAGAGCGACGCGGTCCCTTGCGCGCGCTTCAGAGAGCTCTGACCTCGAGTGTCAACTGCTTGGCCTCCAGGAGCTTGCCTCGCCCGCTCCTCGCCCTTCTCCGCGGCGGCCCGCTCCTGCACAGGCCCGCCGCTCCTCATGCGCCGCCTGCGCGCCGCGCTTCGGAGCCCTGCGCTCGACGTCACAAGGTGCCATGCCGCCCGGCGAGGGCTGCGTCCTCTGCGCCGCCGCTGCCGCCAGGCAATTGGGGAGGCCCGCAGGAGCTGGGCGGCTCCGCCCTCCGCCTGCTCGGTAGAGCGCCCACTCTTGAAACCCGAGGCACCTATCGGGCCGCCGGCGGCGGCGCGCGTCGGAAGCCCCGCTTGGCCAGCGCTGCCGCCGCCTCGCCATCCGCAGGGCGGCGCCGGGCTCCTCGCGCAGGCCCCGGTTCGGGCTGCTCGGCGGCAGTGGACTTCCGCGCGCGGCCGCCAGCCGCCACTCGAGGCCAGAGGTGGGCATCATCGGCGGCGCTTCCGCCGCTGCCCTGGTCCGTTCCGCCACGTCGGCGGCGGAGTCCCCCGGCGGGGGCCTGCCGCGCCTCGTGGCCGCCTGCCCATGGCCTGCTCCGTCGCGCCCGCACTCCTGGGCGGTCGCGATCGAGGGTCGCAGAGTCGCAGGGATTGGTTGCGCGCGGCTGCTTCCACTGGCCCGCATGTCGCATGGAAGGCGCCCGCCCACCCAAGAAATATTGCACGTGGATAGGCATTGGTTGCGCCTTTATCAGCGGACGCGGAATACGCACCGTCGTATATCACAGCGCATGTTCGAACAGCCTCTCACCATGGCGACGAGCAGTCTCCCGAGAGCAACGAGCACGAGGCTGCCTGGCTGATTGTAATACACGCGAGCGCGAAAACATTGGCAGATGCGGTCCCCCAATCCGCAAGGACATTCTGGCGCGGTCGCGTCGAAAACATTCAACGACAGTTGGCAGTAAACGTTCAAAGCGTCAACTGTTTGAAGGCCACAAGCTTTATACTTAAGAATTCGAGTGTCAAGAGTTGTACCAGCCTCGAAGTGGAAGTCCCTCTGTACTCAAGGAGGAAGAGTCGCTCTGCGCGTGCCTTCTGTACATCTCGTTATTGCCGTACGTACAGCATCAGGCGTATATGCGGTGACGCATACGGCCGTGCGTACACCATACATTTCAGCACATGCCACTACTCGTGTGTTCGACTAGTTGCTGTCATATTATTCCCTGCCGCTTCGGTCCATTATCGTTTCCACGGTAATGCTGGTATGTAATAAGGGTAGTTGCGCGCACCGTTGGACATATCGAAATGATGTGCCATCAATGTTGTACGACTCTCAACATATTGCCGTAATTCGTCTGTACTTCGCGTAACCCCCACCAGCCGCTCGCAGTGTCGCCCAACCAGAATTCTTCGCCGTTTTGGCGCTGCACGCCGACTGGCGGCTCCCCCATCAGTCGACGGCGCCCTCGTCTGAGCAGCAGCGAGGCCCGCCTCCTGTGTGTTCCTCCCTCCGCTGTCTTCTCGTTGCCTCGCCTCCCTCCTCCCGGTGCGCAATTCGCTCGTAGCCCGCTCGCTGCGACTCCGACGGCTTCCGGCGTCTCCCGGTGCGCTTGCGATCGAAAAGTAACCTCACCAGCCCATCCAGAAACGATGCCCAAACGAATTGCCTTGATCAGGGATGTGGAAGAGCATGCAGTAGAACGAAGGGCTGGGTAAGACGTCGTACCCCAAGAGGGGGAGGATGGAGGAGGAGTCGGGGGAGGAGCAGGAAAATAATGCGGAGGAGGAGGAGGAGGGGTACGGAGAGGGGGAGAAGGAGGACGGGGGAGGAAGGCGAGCAGAAAGACCAGAGGCATCTTGGATGCTTCTCGGATTCTCTTCGGATGTCTTTCGAAAGCATCTCGGAGGCCTCAAGGGGCGTCTTGGGGGTTACTTGGCACTGGCAGTCCATGGCGCCTATTGAGGTGTTTTTGGTGCCTCTGGGGACCTCTTGGAGCTTCTTGGTGGTGGGTCTCTTGGGAGCCTCGTGGTGGCTTCTTCGGGGCCTCTTGGGGGTTTTTGGGGGTTCTCTTGGGGGTTCTTGGGGCCTCCTGGGCACCTCTTGGGGCCATCTTGGGGCACCGTTGGGGACCTCGGGGGCCATCTTGGAAGCATTGATCAAAGGACGGGCCGTAGTAAAATCAGCGTCCCCCCCAAGAGGCCAAAGTTTGCCCCCACAACCTTGGTAACATCAGTGATGTTGGCTTCCTCGCCGGGGCCATTTTGGACGTTTCAGCGACCTGCGAAACCATTTTCCAGACCCAGAGGAGGAGATAGGGTGAGGGGAAAACACTCCCCGAATGGGAAGAAGGGGGGTTGGAACAGGAAACTTCCAAACATTGCCACACCCTAACATGCTGGTGCGATTGAAACATGTGCTATGTGATGGGGCCCATATAGCACACATCATGTATGCCATGTCGTATACAAGGCAAATCGATACCCGCAACGTCTTGTTGTATGCTATGCGGCGAACATGACCACGTGCGAAAGTGTCAATATTCGAGCAACATATGGCCCACAAAATCTCTTTTCCCTGCGTCGCATTACGACCGCTACTAGCATGTGCCATCCAAGTCTCCACGTTTCTCGATCGTCTTGCGTTTAACGATCTCATCTGTTTGTGTGAATATCTGGTTTGAGTCGTAACGGTCATTGCCAATATTGCAGGATTGGTCGTGATATGGTCTGTTGGGCACTGCTCTGACGTACTCCACACTTGCGCCACAAAAGTCGCCGTCCGTGCCTGAGCCTTCGCCAACGCCCAGACCGAGGATCCAGTTGCCGGCCTATGCCGCTACCACGTCCTCGAGGACGTCCCTCGCGATCGTCGGCCGAAGGCCTCCGTGCGGGCCCCCCTTTGTCGCGCGGAGATGGATCATGCTGCCGTTTCCTCCGCCCGGGCCCCTCGCCTCGACCGACGAGCTCCCGCAGACTGCGCCCACGACGCACCGAGGGCGCCTCCGGCGCACACCTCCGAGGCGCTCGGGGCCGATGCCTGCCCGGCCAGGCCTCGCTCGGCGCGGGGCGGCTCCTCTCCGAGAGGCCCGCCGCTCCGGCTCGCCCGTGGTGCCACCGCTGCCTTCGTTGCAGCCGCCCTCGCCCGGCGCGGTGCACTGCCCTCCCCGGTTGGGCGCTGCGTAATGGGGGGTCATAAATAGGGGGGTGGCGAACGTGGTCCGAAAAGGTACCCAAACGGTACCTAAACGAGCCCCCTGGGGCTCTGGAGGGGCCCGAAAGGGGCACGAAAGGGGACCTTTTCTGACCCCCCCATTTGTGACCCCCCCATTAAGCCACGCCCAACCCGGTCGGGCGTGGCTTCTGCTCGAGGGCGTTCGGAATACCACCGCTCACGGGGAGGCCGCGGGCCGAGGTCGGGACGCGAGGTGCGGCCTCCTCGCGGCCCCCGCCGTCTCGGCGCCGACTGCGCGGCCATTGGTGGAGGGCTTGGCCAGTCCACGACACGGTGTCCCCTTTCCCTGCCACTGGGGCCCTCGCCTTGCTGCTGGCGCTGCTCTCGGTCGGCTGGGGCGCCCAGGGCCGCCCGCCCCCCTCCCGCCGGCGGCCGCTACCAGCGCGGTTGCACGCGCAGCAGGACGAAGCCGTCCCCCAGCGCCGTGGAGGTGGGAAGGAGGAACAAAAAGAGAGAGAGAGAGAGAGAGGGAGCGAGGGAGGGAGGGAGGGAGGGAAGAGGGAGGGAGGAAGGGAGACGACGACGACGACGACGACGACGACGACGACGACGACGACGACGACGACGACGACGACGACGACGACGACGACGACGACGACGAGCGGCGGCGGCGGCAACTGCGGCGGCGCAGACGACGGCGACGACGGCTGTGGCGGCGACGGCGGCGGCGGCGATGGCGGCGGCGGCGACGGCGACGGCGGCGACGGGAGGCCTGCGCCCCCAGGCCTCTCCGCCGTCCTCGGCGGCGTTGCCGTCCCCGCGGCCGGGTGAAGGGCGCGCCAGCGGCAGCTTGCGAAGGTCCCCGCCGGGCACCCCAGCGCCGCCCGATAAACGCGGGCCGGGCGAGGAGGTCAGGGGAAACGATAAGGGGGGATGGGCATAGTGGGGGGGCCCTCGCTTTCCTCTTTTTGAGCCTCCTGGGGGGCCCCCTCGGCGCCACCGATTCGCCATCGGGAGCCTGTCGCCGATCTATCGGCGATGTATCGCCGATTCCAGGTCGATGTTTCCCCCCTAAGCCAGTCCCCCTGTGGTTGCCCCTCAGTGGGAGGAGCAGGGGCCGCGGCACCCACCCTGGAACCCAGAGTTTAGACCCTGAAGCTCCGGAGTTTAAGGCTTTCAAGCTCCTCCTCTCTCTTTCTCTTTGTCGCCCATCTCTTTGTATCACTATCTCTTCTTCCTCATCCATGTCTCCATCCTTCTCTCCTCTCTCTTCCTCCCGTCTCCCCTCAATCACACTCCCTCGCCAATGACTAGTGCTGTCCCCTTCCACGTTGTTGTCCCCCTGATGCTCCACCTCCGCTTCTCTCTGGTGTACCTTGCTCTTGCAGAGGCTCAAAGCTCCGAGCGCTCTTCGGGGGTCTCAAGGGCTTGACTCCTCTCCTGGGGCACGCTGTGGCCAGGACCTCGATGGCGCCCCGAAGGGCCCGGACTGGTAGGTCCTGCCTCCTGGCGGCGTGCCTCCGCGGTGCACGAATTGCGCGAGCGTGGTCGGGCCCGATCTGTGCGGTCTCACATTTGCTCGGTGGCTCCCGGGATCGCATCGAGAGAGCTAGATTCGGTTGCGCGCGGTCTCAAGCGGCCTACCTCGGCAGCGTTTCCCCGGTCAGCACCAGCAGATGGTGACTGGAGACGGTAACGGAGGGGGGGGATCGAGGATTACAGGGAAGTGGCCGGGTCCCTCAACTGCAATTGCAGGTCCCGAAGGTGTTGGAAGAGGCGAACGTTTCTTCATCCCCCTTTGATTCCCCCATCCGCTTACGAGCGCACGAAATTGGGCGGATCATGCCCTCTCCCCCCACTACATTGGGGGCGCCTCGGCTGTATCCAGGCTTGGTGCTACCGCCCTTCCCCCTCCCCGCGCTTGCTTCCTCTGTCGCGACTGCGCGCCAAATCGGCGGCCACCGCCCCCTTGGCCTTTCGGCGGGGCACGGGGGCCGTGCGGACACGGGGGGCGGAGGCGGAGGCGGAGGCGGAGGAGGATCTAGGCCTCCCAGATCGGGTCGGAATAGATGGGGTCGGAGGATCGCGCTGCATCGCCGATGCAGCGGCGATGCGGCTCGATGTGGAGTCCGATCTTCTCCATGCGGACTTCGCCACTGCATCGCGGAAGTCATTGATGCCTCGGTTATGCATCGAGGATGGCTCGGCTCAGAAAGCAGGGGAGGATCTGGGGTGGATCAGAGGCAGCTCTGACGGTGTGTTTGTGTGTGTGTGTGCATCGACCCCCAGTCGCACACTGATCGCCGACAATGGGCAGGATATCCCATTCTGCCCAGGAACGTGCGGATCCGCTATCCAGGGCATATCGCGGATCGACAGGCGGTGCATCGCCGATTGCAGGTCGACGTTCCCCCCCTTGAGCCAGCCCCCCCGGACGTTCCCGTTAGTCGAGGGTCGAGGCTCGGGTTCGGGGGTCGAGGACCGATGCAGAGGATCTGCCGAGGGGTTAGGTTTGTCTGGCTTTTAGTGGGCGTCTGGTGGACCCTGGGCGCGCCACAACAGAGCCCGCGCCGACCGAAGCTGCCCTGCGGGCAGCCGCGCGCCGCTGCCCCTGCGGGCGGGGCCGAGAGAGACGCCGCCAGGTCCAAGGACGGCGCGGCGCACCCAGGCCCTGCCGGGGCCAGCCTGGGGCAGTGTCAGGACGTCGGCCTCGCCCACCGCGGCTGTTCTCTGGTTGGGGGGGGGAAACAAGGAGAGGTTCAGCATCATTCAGCCGAACCCTGTCCCCATCCCCATTCAGGCGATCACAAGCATTGGTCAAGGGGGCGTAGATTAGCGACGGGTCCCGTTTCCATGGGAAATCACGGATCTCCGCCGCCGAGCGAGGCGGCACCGGCCGCATTTTGTGGAGGGCGCCTCCCCCGGTCCATGAATTTGGCGACCGCGCGCCAAATCCATGGATCGCTAATCCATGTTTGCGCGTCCCCCGACCCATGCGGACCCCCACCATCTCAGCACCCCAGTTGGGAATACGTGTACCCTTCGAAATCCGAAGGGAACGGCCTTTGTCCCCATCCAGGGGGGTACATCGGCCAGTGGGGCCCAGGCCCAGGCCAACCCGTTGGGGAGATGGGTCGGATACACGACGCTCACCTGACAGATCTGCTTGTCTCTAGCTCGACTTGAGTTCGGCCGAAGCTCGACAGAAGTCGACGGAGGAGGAGGACCACTGATCAATCTTCCAGTGCCAGGGCTACGAGGGGATTGCCATTTGACAGTCCTTCGGGGTCAACATAGGCGCTGTCAAATGGAGGACATCCTTCGCTTGTGGGCAACCCCAACTCGTAGCCTGTCGCTGTGGGTTGATTGCCAAGGGAATCTCGTGTCATTCAGACCCTCACTCCGAAAACATACGAGTGGCATCCCAGAGTGGGGCAGTCCCTTCGGGAGTGGAGGAGAGATTGCAACGTGCAAATGATGGTACCTCACATGGATCCTGTGGCACCCCGAGAAGTCAAGGTACTGACCACCACTGAATTCTCCAAATGCGCCGGCCTGTCGCCCCCAGCGACGTGGGGACACCTAGCCCGCCTCTGACCGTGGTCGAGGGGCCATCGAATCGGGAGGGGAACCTGTTTAGTTCCCCCAAGATGGATTGATGGGGTCCTTGGTGAAAGTAGGACCCTTGGGTCCGATTGGGACGTCATCAGGGGCAGCGATAGTCGTGGATAGACGGGGGGGACGCACCGACCCCCAAGTCGCCCATTGATCGCCGACAGGGGTATGGTAGCCCCAACATTCGGACTTACTATCGGGGCCTATCGCCGATCTATCGGCAATGTATCGCAGATTTCACGGCGATGTTGCCCCCCCCCTTCTGCTATGCCACTCTTTCTCTGCCCCTCACGTTAGACCATGTCCGAGGCCTGAACCTCGGTAGGTTCTGCCAGCGCAGTGGAGGGAGAAGGGGGAGGGGAGAAGGGGGAGGGGAGTCAGGGGAGTCAGGGGGAGTGGAGGGAGTCAGGGGACGGCGGGAGAAGGGGGAGGGGAAGGGAAGGGGAGGGGGAATGGGAAGCAATCGATGCTTCCCTGGGCCGCTGGGCACGGCGCCTGTGACATCGAGGAAGGAGCTTGCCGAGAGGGAGGGCGGGGGAAGGGGTGGACATGAGAAGGGAAGGCCTTCTCGGGAGGCGGCGGGACTTCTCAGACGCCCTCAAGCCTGCCGAGAAGTTTCCTGTGTTCTCGCGGAAGGCTTAGGAAACGTCTCAGAAGGTTTGGGGATTTTCCGAGATTTCTGAGGAGGCCCGCCCCTCTCTCTTTCCCCTTGGGCTCGCCGCCGAACGCATGAGCATGAACATGATCATGAGACGAAGTCTGACAGTCACAGCACGCATCCCGATCACCATGAGCAGCATCACGACGCGGTCAGGCATTGGGCGAACATGCGCTCGTCACAGCACCGTTGAACATTGAATTGCATTGACAAGGAGAACGTTGTACGCCGAAATGACTAAAGACCATTGACATAGCGGCGTCTTGAATGCAGAAGGCCAACGCCAAGCGTAAACGACGATGACGCGAACCACCCATGCGCCCGCAGGTACCTCGAGTGGCAGGACACAAACATGGCTGCGGAGTTAACCATCACTGAATGCAGACGGCAAACACCAAACTTAAACAAACAACGATGACGCGAACCACCCATGCGCTCTCAGGTTTCCCGAAACGAAACCCACCAAGGAATCAATCTCCAAATTCCAGCCCACCTCAATGACTAGGTACGGGGGGGGGCAAATGTAAGCACGTAGAGGAAGAAGGATCAGTCCATGCTTAACGATGTCCAGCAAAGATGCTGGCGCTGGTGTTCAGCACGAAGAAGAGTGCGGGCGGGTGGGTCAATGCACAACCAGGCTCCCCCCCATGGCCCCCACAACCGAGACGGACACCGAGGAAGTAGTAGTTACAGGAAGGCGGAGAAAGCCGACCCCGCGTGCGAGCAACCCATGAGTTCAGCAATCCAGTACAGTCCCTTATCCGACTCGCGCTTCAAGGTAGAAGACCAGAGCTGCGGATAGCGACAAGCACCCCACTCTGAGGCGGCGGGGCGGAACCCATGAAGCGCTTGAGCCAAAAGGAGGATCTACGCGCCTTGGGCCAAAATGGCTACGGAGAGAGAGAGAGAGAGAGAGAGAGAGAGAGTACGGAGGAGGAGGAGGAGGAGGAGGAGGAGGAGGAGGAGGAGGAGGGAGAGGAGGAGGAGGAGGAGGAGGCGCCAGATTGGACAGAGGAGAGGTGGAGGGGGGGGGCGGTGATCCTCCCCAACTTCGAAGTGCCCCGCTCCTAGCGGTGTTCAGGATACCAATGAGGAGAGTGTCGAGAGTGTGGAGAGCGCCCCGAGTGAGGAGGGGGAGGGTCTGAGAGTAGGGGAATTGATGGCATTTTGAGCATTCCAGCAAATACTATAACGGTCGTGGCTCATATCCAAGTTGGCGTTGGTGAGGGAGAGAAAGGGAACGAGAGCGAGAGAGAGAGAGAGAGACAGAGACAGAGACAGCGACAGAGACAGAGACAGACAAACAGACAGATAGACAGACAGACAGACAGACAGCAAGGCAGGCAGGCAGGCAGGCAGGCAGGCAGGCATGCAGACAGACAGACAGACAGACAGACAATAAGCCAGCCAGCCAGCCAGCCAGCCAGACAGACAGACCGACGCAGACAGACAGACAGACAGACAGGCAGGCACAGACACATAGACGGAGACAGAGACAGGTACAGAGACAGACAGACAGATTCTGCGCTCGAGGTCTCTTCGAAGGGGAGCATTCGCACGGAGGCGCGCAAGCGCGCGCCAGCAAGCAGGTCCTGCTGCTGCTGGCGCTCCGCCAGAGGTTGGGACTTTTGCGCCACTGAGCCGACGCCCCAGCGGCGCGGCGCCCGCCTTGCGCCGCCCTCCGGCCCCCGGCCAGCGCAGCGGCAGGCCTCGCACCGAGCAGGGCGCCACCGCCACCTCGCCGCCGGCCGCCCGCGGGGCCGCCCACGCTGCCCAAAGCCTGCGCAGCAGCCGCGCGTCAGCTGGCAGCGGCGCCGCGCCAGCTCGGAGGCGCCCGCCGCGGCAGCTACCAGCGCTGTCGCGGGTCGCCCTCCAGCGCGCCAGCGCGGGTCCTCGGCTGCGCGCAGTTGCCGCCCTCATCGCCCTGGCTCGCCGGGGAGGAGGAGGAGGAGGAGGAGGAGGAGGAGGAGGAAGAGGAGGAGGAGGAGGAGGAGCAAGAGGAGGAGGAGGAGGAGGAGTGAACGCGGGGACCGTCTCTTCAAAACGAGAACCCAACACCACAGGATGGTTGGGAAATAGAGGATGAGAAATAGAGAGAGACATCATCAATTTATCGGAGGCGAGGAGGTGATACCGCAGTGAAACGGAGAGCCCCCCACTGGGAAATCGGTTTCGGTTGCGTGCGTGCGAGGCGAAGTTGCGTTGGCGGGCGAGTGGAATGAAACCCCTGGCTAGGGCGCCGCCAGGCCAAAAGACCGCCCCCCTTGAGTTGTCCGGCGGTGGCTGGGAGTGTCCCGCGGGTGTCCCGCCAGTTCCCGCCTGTGCCCCGTCGGTGTCCCGTAGTGAGATCGATAGTGAGACCGATCGTGAGCTCGATAGTGAGATCGATAGTAAGATCGATGGTGGTATCGTGATATCGATTGAGTCAGACGTTGGTTCCCCTCCCTCCCCGAACCTCCTCATCACACGAAGGGTGGTCGTATTGGTGTAAATAGAGTTATGATATCGATCGTGAGAAAGATAGAGGGAGAGATAGAGAGAGAGGGAGAAAGAGAGAGATAGAGAGAGATGGAGTGGCAGGGGCCTCGCCTGGTTTTCGAACAGTCCTAGGGAGCGGCTAGCGGGAATTCATACACATCCACCGCCCCCAAAAACCGATGTCCCAAGACATCTGTGGACATTAGCATTCTCGGGCCCAGGGGGGGCCCAGAGAGATTCCATAGCAACTGCCTTCCAGGGTCCTGGAACACGCAGGTTCCACATGCGGTGTGTACGGTAGGTTCGTGTCGTACCAACGCGGCTGCGACCCCGCCGCGGGCGCTCAAGTTTGAACGCCGCCAGCGGCCCAGAATGGTCATCACGGAACGATCTGGCGATCGATGAGCCGCCGGTCGTCCAAGGTAGAACGATACACGCGGTGTCAGAAACCAGCAGGGTCGTCACCACACGAACCTGCCGTAGCCGTGTGGCGATGGCTCAAAGATGGGGCCCTGAGGGATGGGAGCCTAAGGACGAGGTGCCTCAAACATCGTTCGGCGGCGAGCCGGGGGGGAAGTGATAAGGGGCGGGCCTTCTCAGAAGGCTCAGAAGTTTCTCAGCCTTCTGATTGGTTTTCTAAGCCTGCCCCGAAGACACAGAAAACCTTTCAGAAGGCCGGAGGCCCTCTGAGAAGCCCCGCCGCCTTCTGATTCTCTTCCTCACTTCCCCCCTTCGCTCGCCGCCGCAATGTAGATCCACCCTTGGGTCCCTTCCTATCCTTGGGGCCCCACCCCGCAGGACCCCATCTCTGGACCGAGCGTGGGCTCAAGAGCTACAGTATCGGGGGTGAGCGGGGCGCTCCCTGGAAGGCTGCGCCCCCCCTGGAAGCGAGCCGCATCCCCGTTCGCATTCCTCCTCCCCGTCCTCCATCCATCTTCCCCTCCTCCTCCTCCTGCTCCTCCTCCTCCTCCTCCTGTTTCTTTCTTGTTTCCTGGTGGCATGAGTGTGCTCCGCACTCTCCCGCTCCTCCTCCTCCTCCTCCTCCTCCTCCTCCTCCTCCTCCTCCTCCTCCTCCTCCTCCTCCTCCTCCTCCTCCTCCTCCTCATCCTCATCCTCATCCTCATCCTCATCCTCGCCCATCCTCCCAATCCTGTGCATGTCCTCCCACCCAGGACCAGGGCTACTCGATGCCCGCAGCCGCTCTGCGCCTGGACGACACCGCCACCAGCAGCGGCGGCGCCGAGGTGCGCCAGGGCGTGCCGGGGCAGGGGGCCTCCCAGGACTCGGGCTCCTCGTCGGTCCTTGCGGCGCCACCCTTCCCTCGTTTTCCCTTGTGCGGGGCCTCCCGGGAGGCCCTCGTCGCCAGCGCTGGATTCGCATCGAATTCTTTACGCTTCGCGTATCCCCACCAGCCCACCTCACAGCAGCAACTCTTGCGAAGCATGCCGACAGTCGTGTTTTTCAGGCGTGTGTCCGCTTGGCCCCGCATATCTCCCCTGTTCCTCCTTCCCCCCGCCTCCTTGCACATCCTCCTTGTGGGGGGAGCGGGAGAAGGACGAGGCGGAGGAGGAGGGAGAGAAAGCGCTCCTCGTGATTTGAGTCGTTTGGGGTTTCTCGTCCTGGTGTGAGTCGTTCGGGCCCTTCTTCCTGGTGTGAGTCGTTCGGGCTCTTCGTGGTGTGAGTCGTTCGGGCTCTTCGTCCTGGTGTGAGTCGTTCGGGCTTCTCGTGGTGTGAGTTGTTCGGGCCCCTCATCCTGGTGTGAGTCGTTCGGGCCCCTCCTCCTGGTGTAACTCGTTCGGGCTCCTCGTGGTGTGAGTCGTTCGGGGCCCGCGTCGTGGTGTGAGTCGTTCGGGCTCCTCGTGGTGTGAGTCGTTCGGGCGCCTCGTCCTGGTGTGAGTCGTTCGGGCCCCTCCTTGTGGTGTGAGTCGTTCGGGCTCTTCGTGGTGTGAGTCGTTCGGGCCCCTCGTCCTGGTGTGAGTCGTTCGGGCTCCTCGTGGGGCCTCTTGGGGGCCTCTTGGAGCCTCTTGGGGCCTCTTGGGGGCCTCTTGGGGGCCTCTTGGGGGCCTCTTGGGGGCCTCTTGGGGCCTCTTGGGGCCTCTTGGGGGCCTCTTGGGGGCCTCTTGGGGGCCTCTTGGGGCCTCTTGGGGGCCTCTTGGGGGCCTCTTGGAGGCCTCTTGGGAGCCTCCTGTGGGCCTCTTGGGGCCATCTTGGGGCCTCTTGCGACCTCCTCAGAAGCGCCAATGAGAACTGCCCCCTGAGAAGAACAAAATGAGCCCAAAACCTTCGCAAAAACAATTATTTTGCTATGAAGGAAGATGAGCGCGGCCCCCTCAGAACGCCAAAATGGGGCCGACACCGTCGTAAAATCAATGTGTTTGGCTTGAAAGAAGAGCAGAGGGGCCAAACTGGGCCCCCCCCGTCGGGGCCAGAATCCTCGTGAGGGTCGTCGTTTTTTAGCCCTCCAAGGAGTCAAAACAGACCCCCTCTGACGACGCTCGGCCCGCCCTCTCCAGGCCCAGGGGGAGGGGGTAGGGGGAGGGGTAAACCCCTCCCCGAAGGTGAAGAAGGGGGGTTGAGAACAGAGAGAGCTCGCTAAACCACTCACGCCCAAAGGGCTGGCGGGATTCTTGGTCAGAACGCACCCCAGGAGGGGTCCTGGAAGTTGCAGTATCGGAACCTTTTGCCAGTACGGTTGGCATGGGTACGGAAAGAATAGGCACAAAGACCGACATCAGTTCTGTTTCGTTTTGAACAGAGCTCGCTGTTGGTGCCACCGCGGGCCTTGTCCATTCGAGACGCAAGGCCGTCTGCCCAACAGCGGCCGATGTCGGATTTGGACAACATGTGTTGTTGGGCGCCGTAACCATTTCTTCCGTACCAGCTTCGGGCGTACAACTCGTCGGTCTTTGCGGCGCCTTCGCCCCAGGCCTGCAAAGTATTGAACCGTTCGATGCGGAGGTTATTCGACGGTTGCGGCCTGCGGGGGCCTTCGCGCGGCCCCAGGACCGTCAAAGAACGGCCCAGCGGCGCCCTCGTCGCGGCCCCAGACTTGCAGCGTTCAAAACGTAAACATCTGCGTAAGCATAAATTGTCGCAGCTCCGCAAGGATTTCCGGCATCTGCGCGGGGCCCCTCCAGGGGCGCCTCAAGCGCCACCCTTGGCGCGCTCCGGTTTTCTCTAGAAAAGAATTTTGTTTTCTCTAGAAAAGAATTAAAGAGTTCCATGCAGAGGTTTGTCTGCGTTTTCGGCCTGTGGGAGCCCTCGCCAGGCCCCAGGACCGTGAACAAGCGACTCTCGATGGAAAGCCTGCCCTGCCGAAGGGGTTGGTGGTTGGTGTTTCCAGGAACCACCGCATCGACAAAAGCAAGACGTCGGATGCCCGGGGCAGCAGGGCGCCGCGCGAGAAGGTCGCTGGCGTGGTGGCCAGGACGTGCGCTCAAGGCGCACGCATCGGGGTCAGCGCTTCAGGCTGACCCGTGTTTGTCAGGAGGTGAAAAACACACAGACACAATGAATCGTCGATTCCACACAAAATATGGGAAAATATGGGAAGTGGGGGAGAAGGCAAAAACCCAGAAAATATGGGAAGATAACACGGAATCCTGTTATTTGTGTCTATTCATTTGTGTGTCCCAGGGCCCCTTCAGTTTGGGAGCCACGTGTGGCGGACCTTTCTTCCTGTCTCTCCGTGGATCCGGGTTTGGGAGCTGCCATGCGACCTGGTCGGGGTATGCGGCATGGCCACGGGTGACCAAGGTTGGCGCTTGCCCGGGTTGAGGCATCCCCAGCGTGTGGGGGATGGTTCGAGTCGGAAGGTGGAATTGGTTTGGAGATTGGACCCCACGTTATTGGTTTCGGGATACCACGAGGAAGTACAGGAGCGAGGAGGAAGGTCGGAGCGGAGCTGGAGCGACAGTAGGGAGCAGCAGGAGGAACGCAAGGGCGTTAACGAAGGAGAATCATAAGGATGTCATGCAGAGAGGCGAAGGTGTGGGGACTCCTCCAGTGATGGCAAGAGATAAGGCACCTTCACTCCAACCCTGTCCCACCGCAGAGGAGTCAGAGGGCGGCGGCACCTCGGGTGAGGAGGGCGTTGTTCCTCCCGACTTCTTCGCGCTCTCTATGCCGATCCCCTCCTGCTCAAAGCAACTGCTGCTGCCCTTCCTCGGGACGCCTCTGCGTGCGATGTGGCCTGCCCGAGGGCCGCTGCTGTCTCAGCGCTTCGAAGGCGTCGAGGATCGCCCCGCCGACATTTTGCTGGCTCGGGCTTGAGCCTTGACATCTTCGGCAGGAAAAGTGGGCGGGAGGAGAAGGAAGGACGATGGATGAGGAGAATGGGGGGGCGGGGGCGGGTGAGGGGAGGGAGGTGGAGACGAGAGGAGGCAAGCTGAGGAGGTGGAGGAGCAGGAGGGGGAGGAGGAGAAGAGCCGAGGACGAGGATCATGAGGACGGCGCTGATGACGAGGAGAGCAGCAGGAGGAGAATCAGCAGGAGGTGCAAGAGGAGTGGGAGAAGAGGGTAGGGGAGGATGGAGGATGGGGGAGGTTGCAGAGAGGGGGGAGCAGCAGGAGGAGAGAGAGGAGGGCGGGGATCTCCGGGCACGCCTCTCCCTCGGCGGCGGCAGCAGCAAACGGAGCGCCGAGAGCGGGGTCGGAGACGGAGGTGTCCCCTCCGATGAAGATGACTGCAAGATCTGAAGGCGCCTCCGGCCGCCACCACCACAGCCGCCCGCTGGAAGACGGAGGAGGAGGGGGGCAGATGCGTAGGAGGAGGAGGTCGGAGGAGAAGGAGGAGGAGGGCAGATGCGTAGGAGGAAGAGGAGGAGGAGGAGGAGAAGGAGTGACGTGGAGGAGGAAGAGGAGGAGGAGGAGGAGGAGGAGGAGGAGGAGGAGGAGGAGTAGGAGGACGAGCAGGAGGAGGAGGAGGAGCAGGAGGAGGAGGAGCAGGAGGACTCCTTTCAGGAGGAGGGTCCGTAGCCATTTTGGCTCAAGTCCGGAGGCATTGCTCATGGGACTTTGAGTTTGTGGCGGGGGGGGATTCGCGGCCCCCGACTGCTTTCCCTGGCGTTCGCCCGCCAGGTCCATACTCACTATTACGTCTTGTGTGCGGAACTTCGTTTCTCCTCCCAACATCGTCCTTCGATGGTTCCAGCGCCCGCTGCTTTCTCGTATGCGCCGTGGGTGCGTCCAGATGAGTGGACAGTTGTTCAAGGAGGTCGGAAGGGGAAGAAGAAGCAAGGCCAGGGAGTTGCGTGCCCAGGCTGTGGTTGCAAGAAGAATACTCCAGATGACATTCATTGCTACCATTGCAGTGCTCTATTGCCTCGCCTCGCTGTCGGTCGTCCACCTGCTGCTCAAGGGTCATGGGCACGTCCTGCGTTGCCCCCAGGCTCGTTCTTCCATCTCGGCCCGCTCATGGGGGGCAAAGGTGGAGGCTTCACAGGCGGCGGCATTGGCGGCAAGGGGGGCAAGGGCGGCGGCGGCAAGGGCAGAGGACACGGCGGTTGGGTTGATTCATGGGCAGGCGGCGCACCTCAGCCTGGTCCCGTCGAGGCTGGAGCTGGCCAGCTGTCGCCTTTGCCAGTGGGAGCAGTGCCCAAATTGTCCAAGGATGAGGCGTCGGAGTTGGCTCGACTGTGTGAGAAGGCTGGCGGCAAGGCAGGTGCCACCAAGTATTCTTCCTTTGCGAAGTCGCTGGCGGCTACTGAGGAGCGTGCTAAGCAGCCAGTCTCGGCACATCAGGCTGCCCAGCAACATCACACGCTTGTTCGGCGTCTTGAGAAGCAGCTGGAGGGCGACCTTGCGAGGCTCCTCCGTCTGCAGTCCGAGGTTCAGGAGCAGAACGAGAAGGTCAAGCGTGTGCGCGGCGAGTTGCAGGAAGCTGACAGGGTGTACAAAGAGGCGGTCCAGAAGCTGGCTGCTGATTCGAAGGTCGTGCCCAACGTTGAGACGGCAAAGCTCAAGCTCGAGGACTTACTGTCAGGCTCTGTGGACATCGGCTCCATCATCAGCGGCGACATCCTCGAGGACTTCGGCGACGACGACGAGCTCGAGTTGTCGGCTGAAGATCGCGAGGAGATGCAGAAGCGCACGGCGCTCTTGTCTCAGGGCATTGCGGACATGGCCAAGACACTGTTCCAGCAGGCAGTTGACCAGGCCAAGTCCGCCCAGGCAGCGCATCAAGCGCATAAGGCTCGTGTGGCTGGCAAGCGTCGCAAGCGTGAAGATGGGCTTCATGAGGCTGGTGGGGGCGTCGGCGGTGCTGAGGCCGCTGCAGCTGCCGCTCCTGGTGGTGAGGGCGAACCATCCCCGACGGCTGGGTGCAGCCAGCAGGTGCCAGTCGAGGCGCCGCCAGCAGATATCCGTGCGCGCGCAGATGCGGCTCTTCATGCCAGTGAGTCAGGTGGCGCCTCCCCCTCGTCTTGAGGGGGGGGGGGGACTCTCTGGCATTAGCGAATCTTGTGTTGCTGGATTTCGGTTTGTTTTTGACTGTTTTGCCTCTCGAGCCTCGGTCGTAGGTTCGAAATCCAGAGTCTCTGGTATCAGGCTTTTTAAAAGGTTCCAGTCTGTCTTTCGAGCCGCCACTCCCGAGGCCAATTCTTGGGTTGCGCCCTTGGTCCCTGCTGACGTCCAAGGTGCCCCAGGATCCAAGCCCTTGGAGCCCCCGAGGCCCGTTCCTCTTCCTGCTCCCTCTGGGTTCTCGGATTTCCAGCTGGAGATTGCCACTGTCAACGGGAACTCTTGGGGCACGTTCTACAAGTTTCTGGAGACTACGTCGGCCCACGTTGTCATTGGCCAAGAGCATCGCCTCAGAGCCTCGGACATCGACCAGAAGTCGGATATCTGCAAGAAGGCTGGGTTCAAGACTGTTTGGGCGCCTGGTGTGCTCGGTGAAGGTGGTGGTGTTTCTTCGGGAGTTGTTGTGGCGGCTCGTGACGGACTTGGATGCTACGAAGCTTCTGGAGTGGTTCTTGCTGAAGGGCGAGCAGCCGCTGCTCTGACTCACGTTCCTGGATGTGCTCCGATCGCCATCGTGTCGGTCTACCTGGTCCACTCTCAAGGACTGTCGGAAGCTAACATGGAAATCCTTCGGGCTGTCGGTATCTTTCTTGAATCCCAGGGTTGTGATGTTGTCGTCGCTGGTGATTTCCATTTCTCTCCTGGGGTCTTGTTTGAAACCAACTTTGCGGAGCTTCTGAAAGGGGCCATTGCGTCTGCTGATGGGCACGCCCACTTCCCCTCTGGAGGGGGGGGGGAGGGGGGGTCCTGACACCTTTGGTTTTTTTCGTTCTCTCTGAAGCCTTGGGACGGTGCTTGCAGCAAGTCAGAGTGGTCACTGAGTCGGATATTTCCCCGCATAAGCCTGCGGCCATTAAATTTCACCCGTCCCTCGGCTCTCTGAAAGCCCCCGCGTTCCGCCGCCCCCCCGACTTGCCTCCGTCGGCGCCTGTGGGGCCTCAGCCGTGCCCTGGGGATTGGTCCGAGGCTACCGCCAAGGCCGAAGCCGCTCACAGGGCTGCTCTGTCGGGGGATCTGCAGAAAGCCAGGGGCCTTCTTACGCCGGGGTATCGTTTGTGGGCCAATGTGGCCGAGTCTGACTTGGCCAAAGTCTTGGGGGTTGAGCTTCCCGCCCTCGGCATGAGAGGTAAACGCCCCAAGCTTGTGTGGAAATCGGTTATTAAACCTGCGGGCAAAGTCAAGGACCCCAGCCTTAGGTCCATCACGTGGCTGGCTGCTCAGCTTCGTGCGCATGGGGGCTCTCGACATCGTTTCAGTGCCCGTCGAGGTCGCTGTGCAGGCCGACTCCGACTGGCACCAGTTCTTTCAGGCTAGTGTTGGCTTAGTTGCCCGCTGCCTGGATCTCTCTCGTCCCCACGTTTCTTCCCAGCGCGGCTTCGATTTTAGGTCTGGACAACCTCCTAGCCAAGGTGGCCCAGGGGGATTGCACTCGCGTGCGTTGCCAGGTCAGTCGGGCGATGATGATGGTCTCTGCGATCCTGAAGGCGGAGAGCCCAGTGATGTTGTTGGCTCCCTGCGCGCGGATCTTGAAGTCCTGCTCGACTCGGTCGATCAGGCCCGTTCGAATGCTAAGGTCGCGGCTGCTGCCAGGTCTAAGGCGTCTTGGCAGGAATGGGTTCGAGAAGGGTTGGAAAAGGACAGTCGTAATGCTCAGCGTGCCATTCGTGACCCCGAGCCTTGGACCCCCACGACCACGCTCACGGCTGGGGGCATCATGGTTGCGGACCCCATGGCCCTCTTGGAGACCGAGGCTGATAAGTTTGCGTCTATTTGGGGGGATGGGGACGGGAAGGGCATTGATGACTCGTTTCTCGAACCCCTGCCTGTCCTTCAGCCTTCTGAGCTGCGTGCCTTTTCTAAGAAGTATCGGCTGTCCAGTGCTGTGAGTGTTGATGGTTTTCATTGCCGTCATTTCTCGCTGCTCTGTGATCAGGCCCTTCACTGCCTCGCCCTCTGGTTTTGTGTCATGGAGGCCACGGGCTCCCTGCCGCACCAGATTTCCTGGGTTCTCATTGCCCTTTTGGGCAAGCCCGCTGGGGGCTTTCGGCTTATCGGGGTGTTCCCCAGTTGGCACCGCCTCTGGGGGCGGGCCCGTCGGTCGTTTGCGCAACGCTGGGAAGGCAACAACCCTCGGGACTTCTGGGCGGCGGGTGCCAACAGGGGCGCCTCTGACGTGGTGTGGCGGCAAGCCTTTAAGGCCGAGGCGGGACTCAGCCGTGGCGAAGTGTCGGCCTCAATTTTCTGAGACGTTCGGAAGTATTATGAGCATATCGACCTTCGTTTGCTCTATGCCAGGTGCCGACAACACGGGTTTCCTCTCGGTATCGCTAGGCTGGCCATTCGCGCGTATGCTACCGCTATATACATGGCCCCTGGAGGCTATGTCGAAGGGCCTTATTTCGTCATCAGGGGCATCGTGGCGGGCTGCTCGTTCGCCACTAGCTTGATCAGGGTTTTCGCTTTGGCCAGCTTCGACTCGCTCCCTCGGTCGCCAGGCTTGGACTTCGACGCGTATGTTGATGACCTGGGTCTCAGCTGCACGGGCAGCGCCAGGCAGGTTGTTCGTGCGCTGGTGGGCGGAGCCCGAGCGCTCCACAAGTGCATCACTGATGAGCTGCAGTGCCTTCTCGCCATGGACAAAGTGGGGATGGTTGCTAGCAACAATGAAGTCGCCTCTCCGCTCCTCCAGAAACCTGGGCACCTGGCTGGCCAAGGAGTGGGTGTAGGAAGAGTTACGAGCTTGGGGGTTGACTACACGGCGGACCGATCCCTGAGGGCTCCTGGCCGTGGCCGGGCGGCCAAGTTTAAAGCTCGTCTTGCGACTGCGCTTCGCAAGACCAGGAGGCTCAAACATATTGGGGACGTCCTCGGGAGGCGCAGCTTGAAGGTTTTTGCTGCGGGGCCTCTGGCTGGTGGGACCTACGGGTCCGACATATTCGGGGTGTCCGATGCCGAGCTCCTGACCTTGCGTCGTGCTGCTATGTCTTGTGTTAAGCCACGCTCGCAAGGGCGCTCCCTTGCCGTGCTCAGCCTGCTTGAGGGAGACCCGTGCTGGCGAGCGAGTGTGGCGCCGATTCTCAGATGGTCGAAAAAAATCTGGTTGTGCCACACTCGTGCGTTCCCGTGGTGTTTGTCTTGGGCGGATCTGCGTGAGGGCTGGATGCAGACCTTCAGCCACGAC